AATGAATAATGAAATGCAACCTCATTTTTTTTTACCGCTCTCCAAAAAAAAAAAAAAAAGAGAAATGTGTTTGCATCTAGTATAATAGAAATAATATACAATAGTAATATTAAGTAATGGATGTTCTATTTTCTATTAAAGCATAGCATTATACATAAAGATCTATCTGGCCAGTTGGTCATCGACCAGTGCCAATAACAGAACAAAAAAAAAAAAAAAAAAGTTGAGGGATGGAACAGATTTTTCACAAAAAAATGATTTTAAGATTTTTTTCGTCTTTACACCCTGAATAATCCAAATTCCTATACGTAATAATTGAGCTCGAAAGTGGCAGATTCATTACCGTCCCATCAACAAAATATAGGAAAAAACTATGCACGGATATCGCAGAAGCGCCTGTAAAGTTCAAACGCCGCAAGTACCAGAGCGCCAACAGCGTATCGGATGCGAGACGGTGATCTTTAAAATCCGCGAATCCAGCGGAAACGACGTTGAAACGGAAATAGGGAGATTGTATGGACCACACGGCAGATATCGAGTGTGATGTGAAAACCGCATCATTTACAGGTTTCGCTTCCTCTACACGTCGACTCACTCTGTTTGTTAACCTTTGAGAAGATAAAATTTGTTGTTCAGGTCTTGTGAGAACGCCGTTTTTCTCAACCTCGGTGTGCGGTTGATAATTTTCGATACGAGAGTTACGAAAATATTTTTTGTGGTCAGCCATAACTGCTACCGTTATATAGGAAGAATTATTTAGCACGTTTGACTACATAAACAGAATAATTATGAACAAGTTAAAATAAATATACAGGGTGTCCCAGAAGTCGACGTCAAGCCGAAACCGGGTGATATGTAAAGTCATAACAGCTATCAGAAAAATATTTAAAAAAATTTTATGTATGCGTTTTGAAAATTATAGGTCTTTGAAAAAAATATAGAAATTTCACACCCTACGGCAGTCTGTCAACTCCTGTTACTACAAATATTAACTTTTTTTGGATTTTATTTTCACAATGTAATGAGGAATAATGCATCTTCAAACGGGTGTTTCAACCTTACTGCCAACTTTTCTCGTCCAGGAAAAATTGCCACTTATTTCCCAACGAAGTATTCCAAAGTAAAACTTTGCTCAACTTTAACTGGCTGTACTGGAAAAAATGTACTACGAGAGTTTGGCAAGTAACCTTAAAAGTTGGCGCATTTAATAAGGATTCCAAAATGGTATAACACTTAGAAGATTACTCGTTAACTTATGCACAATTTTTATTTGAAGAAAAACTGATGAAAATTTTTCAAAATTTCCTAATTAAACAGCGATTATGAAAACGCACAAGGACCCTTAAGCACAACTGTTTGCACAACAGTGGGCGTCAAAATGCTGCTGATGATGATTTACCTTTACAGCAAATGCTCAAACTGTTTTCCTTCAGCCGCAATACACGCTCGACATCTTCTTAAAAAAGATCGGGTTATTAAACGAGCGAATCCACGGTTATTAACAAACTCAGCTGCTTCCAATAGTCATTGCTGTAGCTCAGCTACATTTTGAATCGGCTTGAAATACACTTTTCCTTTTACAGTTCCCCAGTAAAAAAAATCTAACGGATTCAAATCTGGTGACCGGGCTGGCCACGGTATTGTACCAGACCGCCCTATCACTGAGAGTGCATAGTGCGCTGGGCAGCCATCATGTTGAAACCACATGTCCCTGTAAATACTCAGTGGCACGTCCTCGAATAAATTTTCTAAATGATTTTGCAAAAAACCTAAATAAACCTCAGCAGTCAAAATCTCTGGGAACTCAATCGGACCAATTATTTTACCATTTAAAATTCCTGTCCAATGGTTTATCTTGAAGCGATATTGAGATTTATCTTCTCTCATCAAATGTGGGTTTGCTACGTTATGCAGGTTCATGTACCCATCTTTCTTAAATGTGGTCTCATCTGACCATAAAATTTTTTCAAAGAACCATGGATCTTCCCTGTATCTTTTTAACATTGTGCGACAAAAAGCAACTCGGGGCTCATAATCCCGGGGCAGAAGAGCTTGAACACGCTGTACGTGGTATGGATGGAGCAAGATTCTATGGGCTGTACTTTTGGGCACACCTGTTTTTAGTTCTATTGCACGCACTGAAGTACTCGGGTCTTCTTCGACAGCTCCTAGCACCACGTCTTCGTAAGGAAGGAAAGATCTTCCCTCACCGTGTGATTGGTTTGGTAGTTGGCCCTCTGAGAACAGTAAGCGGTGCACATTTGTGAACACTCGATGATCTGGATGACGAGCTGCATTCGGGTACCTCTCATAGTAGTCTCGCTGCAGCACTAGCGTTGCATCTGCATTCCCCATAAATGAGGTTCATGTTAGCGTATTCTTGTACGGTGTACACGGACATAGCGGCACTGCACAATCACACTATCAAAGGTAGTCTAAGGAAAGCAAATGTTGTTTTGAAGAGCTATTAAACAGTCCAAATCCAAATCACAAGCGATCAACAGTCCAGTTCACGAATCCAAAATTAGTAACAGTACGAAATCAACAAGCATGAACATGTAAAGATGCGCAGTAAACGAAGGAGTACTGATCGGTATCAAAGTGTGCAATAGCAAGTAATAGCATCCATACCACATACAGCGTATTCAACATCTCCTGCCCCGGGATTATGAGCCCCGAGTTGCTTTTTGTCGCACAATGTTAGAAAGACACAGGAAAGATCCACAGTTCTTTGAAAAAATTTTATGGTCGGATGAGACCACATTTAAGAAAGATGGGTACATGAATCTGCATAACTTACACGAGTGGCACGTAGCAAACCCACATTTGATGAGAGAAGATAAATCTCAATATCGCTTCAAGATAAACCATTGGACAGGAATTTTAAATGGTAAAATAATCGATCCGTTTGAGTTCCCAGAGACTTTGACTGCTGAAGTTTATTTGGATTTTTTGAAAAATCATGTACAAAATTTATTGGTGGACGTGCCACTGAGTATTTACAGGGACATGTGGTTTCAGCATGATGGCTGCCCAGCGCACTATGCACTCTCAGTGACAGAGTATCTCGATCAAAACTTTCCAGGCAGATGGATAAGGCGGTCTGGTACAATACCGTGGCCAGCCCGATCACCTGATTTGAATCCTTTAGATTTTTTTACTGGGGAACTGTAAAAGAAAAAGTGTATTTTAAGCCTATTCAAAATGTAGCTGAGCTACGGCAAAGACTATTGAAAGCAGCTGAGTTTGTTAATAACCGTGGATTCGCTCGTTTAATAACCCGATCTTTTTTAAGAAGATGTCGGCTGAAGGAAAACAGTTTGAGCATTTGCTGTAAAGGTAAATCATCATCAGCAGCATTTTGACGCCCACTGTTGTGCAAACAGTTGTGCTTAAGGGTCCTTGTGGGTTTTCATAATCGTTGTTTAATTAGGAAATTTTGAAAAATTTTCATCAGTTTTTCTTCAAATAAAAATTGTGCATAAGTTAACGAGTAATCTTCTAAGTGTTATACCATTTTGGAATCCTTATTAAATGCGCCAACTTTTAAGGTTACTTGCGAAACTCTCGTAGTACATGTTTTTCCAGTACAGCCAGTTAAAGTTGAGCAAAGTTTTACTTTGGAATACTTGGTTGGGAAATAAGTGGCAATTTTTCCTGAACAAGAAAAGTTGGCAGTAAGGTTGAGACACCAGTTTGAAGATCCATTATTCATCATTACATTGTAAAAATAAAATTCAAAAAAAGTTAATATTTGTAGTAACAGGAGTTGACAGACTGCCGTAGGGTGTGAAATTTCTATATCTTTTTCAAAGACCCATAATTTTCAAAACACATACATAAAATTTTTTTAAATATTTTTCTGATAACTGTGATGACTTTGCCTATCACCCGGTTTCGGCTTGACGTCGACTTCTGGGACACCCTGTATATGATACACTCTAGGGCAAGCTATAATTCTAGATTCAACAAGTGATTCCTCAAGTTTTACTTTGAATTTTGTCAGTATACTATGGTCTTCTGTCTTTACTTAATTTATCATATTCAATCAACCCTTGATGGAATACAGTTTGGAATATTTTGGACATTAAATGCAAGTCATTTTTACGTAAATGATTGTCGGCATTTGATGATGCTAATTTAGCTAGAAATCGCAGAAATTATTATTTTTTACTTTATAAATAAATATCATTACACGATATTTGATAAAATTTCTGGTAAGCTGATTGGACAAAATCTTCAAAAGGTTATTACATAGTTGTAGGTTTTTAGAGATATCCAACACTGATAAGTGTAGCCTAAATTCAGATACTATGAAAAGGAAGATTAAAAAAATACAAGTTCTCATTTTTGAATTCGAGATTTTTGAGAATTTTAAAAATTGATCACCGATTGAAAAAAACACGCTAAGTACATACATTTTTGAAATATAAGAAGATAAGAAATTCGGTCATTTTTGAATTTGAAATTTTTGAGAATTATAGAAATTGATCACTGTTTGCAGAAAACATGCTGAGTACGAACAATTTTGAAGTATAAAAAGCTAATAACATCGGTCATTTATTAGTTCGAAATTTTTGAGAATTTTAAAAATTGATCACTGATTGAAGAAAATATGCTGAGTACATACCTACAATTTTGAAGTATAAGAAAATAACTTCGGTCATTTTTGAATTCAAAATTTTTGAGAATTTTAAAAATTGATCACTGATTGCAGAAATATGCTGAGCACATACAATTTTGAAGTATAAGAAGATAAGAACATCGGTCATTTTTGAGTTCGAAATTTTTGAGAATTTTAAAAATTGATCACTGATTCCAGAAAATATGCTGAGCACATACAATTTTGAAGTATAAGAAGATAAGAATTTCGGTCATTTTTAAACTGAAAATTTTCGAGAATTTTAAAAATAAATCACTGATTCCAAAAAAATATGCTGAGTAACAATTTTGAAGTATAAGAAGAAGTTCGATAATTTTGAAATTTCTAATTTTCTTACCTATGGTACTGCTTGGAGGTGGAAAACCTTGTTGAGGGTTTTGAGACATAAAAATCGCCCCTTGCATTTCGACGCTACGTAGATCTATAACAAAAATAAAGTCTAATGAAACATTTATTCAAAATTTCAGCAGAATTTTTGCAGAATTGAAAAAAGTATAAAGATTCGGGTTTAGTTATATAGTAAAACATAAATACTTCAGAGCTATAATATGCAAATATAAAACAGATAGTCGTACTAGGAATTTTCTCTAGTAACTTTCAGTATTTATAAATAAGAATCATTTGTTTAGTAAATATGTGATACCAACTGCTGCATTCTTGATAGAAGTTTATTAAATAAATAACATAGTATTCCTTTTTCTTATCCATTACGATTTCACATTAGACATGAATATTCTAGAATCTTCAGATCATCAATAAGTGATGGTTGCTCGATTCGTCTTAAGAGTGTCCGCCACGTTGCAAATAGACTTATAATCCGCTAGATGGCAGCTCCATTATTAAACGCTCCAAAAAACGATAGAGCTTCCTGAACACGACGCGCTGCTGTCCAAGACACCGGTATCAGTAAAATTTCTATAACGCAGCCAAAATATCGGACTGTCTGGCATCGGAGTTTGTACAACATCCTAGGCATTCACTCAGAAAAGTCATTTCAGTCAGCGCTCTTTGATCAAAGTTGCAAAGGGCAAAATGACAGAAGAAAGATGACACTAAGCCACTAAGTGCGTAAATCGCGAGCTTCCGGACTACATACAGTCAGAAAATTTCTTTGGGATCCTCGTAGCAGCCGCAAAAATATATGGTCGTCTCAACTGTTTATCACCGAAGCACCTGATCGTCAAATATCGAATCTGCAAATTATGTCTAACAAAGCGTCGTATCGATTTTCAACGAATCAAAGTCTAGCTGTTCCGCAGCGAGACGACAGATGATAATGTTTATCGGCCATTGTAATTCGAAGCACATTACAAATATTTTCACCTATTCTCGGAACGATACCGTACGTAAAAGAATACGTTGTTAGATGCTTCCCATTCCGAGAAACAATCTTATAACCCACGTTGGGTACATACGGAAAAAACGATATACATCATCATCATGAATAATGACACATTATTAGTTGCTTCTTGATATTACAAGCTTACAAGTTCATCATGATTGGATTTTACTGAAGTTTTGATTTGATTTTGATTACTATTTTGATCACCAGTAATTTGATTTTTCTCTTAAGAGAAAGAGATGGTCACAAAACAGCTATAAGAAAGCTACAAGGCCGGAAGAGTGCAGATATTGGTTTTTCTCAATGTTTTCATACGCTGAAGAGGTTAAAATCCCATTAAAATCGAAAGAGTAGCACCTAAACTCGAAAGAGTAGCACCCAAACTCGAAAGAGTAGCACCCAAACCAAGACAAACAACTAAACGTAAGGTAGATACAAAAAAGGGTGCTTTGACAAAGGAAAATCATTGAAAAGGGTTTTGCATAGGCAATGTGATCAAAATAGTTAAAAAAAAGGTTACGTCAAGTATCAATTTGGCATCGATGTTGTTACTTATGCATTTTCAAGGATGTTTGATTAATGATACAATGTTCAAAAATGCTTAGGAGCAATATCTATGACTAGATTTATCCCGTAGCGATATCATAAGTGCAGGTTTCCAGCTAAAGTACATATTAATGTTTACATAAAAACGGATATGCACTCAGAATTTCTACATTGCAGATCGACCTCTAAAAGCTTATCTATCGATTTCTCTTACATAACTAGATTGCACGTATATCCAAAAAAGCATCAGGTACGAACAGGGTTGTATCAGGTCAAAGTTGAAAAACAATAAAAATATTTCACATAGAAATAACGTATACAGGGTGTTTAAATTTACTTTCTAAAATACTTTTTTTAAATATTTCGAACAATATTTGATGTGTAACAGTGAAAATTGGAATACAAGGGTTTTTTGGTACGACAAAACGAACCATGGGCATAGTTTTACTGTAGCCGCTAGAGGGCGCTCTCTACTGTACCTGTAGCGTATTAAAATGACCGAAAAAATTTTGTTAGTGCATTTTTTTGCTTTTTGAATAAAAAAACTGATTCCTCGCACTTTTCAACATAAAAATGCTCTCTTGTGAGTTTTCGTTATAGTTAGCCGTTTTTGAGATATTTCGATTTATAAGGTTCGATGCATTTTTAATTATTTATGGGAAAATAATATTTTTTTTTTCATTTTCGATTTTTCGGCATTACAAGTAGTTAAGATGATCGTTTAGATTGTATTTTTAAACACAGCAATAATTCCTAACTCCAAATAAACACAAAAAACAGAATATTAATTTGTTTAATTTTCCAATATTATTTTTAACAAATTAAATTAATTATTTACAACTAAAATGCTATTGGATAGTTAGGACAAACATACAAAATCTAAAGTAGTTGCTAGAAATGTAAACCCAATTGTTCAATACACAATTCACATCTACGAATGATCGAACGTGGTATAGCATTATTCAAATAAGGCCTTATTTCATCACATGCATTCCTTATTCTGTCTATTAGCATATCTCTTGTGGTTACAGGAGTCTGGTACACTTTTTCTTTTAGAAATCCCCACACAAAGAAATCTAATGGATTTAGGTCAGGGGATCGTGGAGGCCAGGCGACTGGTCAGTACAGTAGAGAGCGCCCTCTAGCGGCTACAGTAAAACTATGCCCGTGGTTCGTTTTGTCGTACCAAAAAACCCTTGTATACCAATTTTCACTGTTATACATCAAATATTGTTTGAAATATTTAAAAAAACTATTTTATAAAGTAAATTTAAACACCCTGTATTTCGGAAGCCACGCATTTTTCGACCCATGTCTATATAGACTTTATGCATTAATTTTAAAAGTTCTATCGAATCTTAAAGTTATGCAACAATAAACTGAAACACCCTGTATAATCATGTATTCGTAAGATTGTATTAAAAGAAGGACTAGCGTAACAGCGGGAGATAAAATATCTCGTCGAACACATAGCCAAACATAACAGCCTAGCAGGAATGAAAAAAAACTCTACAGGATCATTCAGAAAAAATGTACATGCCTTTTTACAGCTACTATCGGGGAAGTTTTGGAATCGCGAATATTTCCAAAAATGAAATAAATTTTTTGTACGTTATATGACTCGTACATCACCTTTCCGTCTCTTTGTCTATATGTCGGTTTGTCTTGTTTTCAGTTGGAATTGATTCTCTAATTCGAATTTTCTATTCTTCTCAAATATGTTCTGCTGAAGTGTATGATCCTTCTGTAATTACATTGTTGTTCTCAAAATTTATTGATACGGTCCTGGATTAGTGCGTCTCTACGCTGTTGACATTGAAAATATTCTGGTTATTCGGTTATTCGGTTTGTCTTGTTTTCAGTTGGAATTGATTCTCTAATTCGAATTTTCTATTCTTCTCAAATATGTTCTGCTGAAGTGTATGATCCTTCTGTAATTACATTGTTGTTCTCAAAATTTATTGATACGGTCCTGGATTAGTGCGTCTCCACGCTGTTGACATTGAAAATATTCTGGTTATCAGTTCCTATTCCGGATAAGTGTTGCTAAAATACATTATAGATAAAACTGCACATTTATAGAGATAAATCTTTGTATAAACTACCTGCATTGGATATCTGCATTCTATAATACTTTGTTTTTAATAGGCTTGATATTATTGTTATATTATGCTCTCTGCTGAGTTGCATCCTCTTTGCAAAGTGCATCAAAAGCTGCTGCAGGGTAAATAGACTCAATCAATATTTAAATTCTACGAGGCTTATATCAAAAATAGCTGTAATCGACAGATTAATAAGAGTCAAAGTTGCTTAAAACGTAACGAAGTTTCTAGCAGAAGTGAGTCATCATATTTTTTTCTGAGGGTATCTAAAATGTTATATTTTTTAAAAGTAAATTGCATTATTTTCAGTTTTACATAAAGTCCTTTAACAAAAGTATTCCATTTTCCCCAGTGTAAAACGGACATCTATAGTGGACGACAGAGATATTGCGCCTATTCACACCTCTTTCTGCTTTTTGATGGTACGAAAATGCGCTTAGTAAGGCCATTATGTGATTCATCTGTAGAAATTATTGAACGTCGTGAATCTAAAATGTATCGTAATTGTTCGATTCAGGCATAGTAACAAATTCACATAATTTGACTGTACTATAATGCCGACCTGACATCGCTAACGCCCCGCACCTCGTCAACCAACGACCGTCTATGAAAAAATGTAGACAGGCACAATATCTTTGTCGTCTAAAAATTGTTAACTTTTCAACATCATGTTGCTACACCACTGGAATATCGAACAATCTGACGATATTTACGATGGCCATTAAGTGCGTATTAAGCGAAATACCGTCGAATGCCAAGATTGATTCCGAGAACAGCGTAAAATCTGTTCCACTAAAACCAGCGTCCAACCAATCATCGTCAAGCGACGAAAAAACAATGTGAAACATAGATGGCCGCGTGCAGTTGTTTCATGGCCGACTACGTGCTTAAATGTCATTTAGAAACCAAGGTATATTTATAGATAAATCTCGAATTATCAGCCAGCAAATATAAATTAAGATGTGTACTTTAAGTGAGGATGTATGTTGAGAATGTACAATAAAAAAACAATTGACGCGTAGCGCATTTTTTAAGTGACGGTTCAACAACATCGAGTTCTTGAGGAACATTGCAATTTGCAGATCGCTTCTGATCTGAGGCTTTGCAGGAGTAGAACGGAAACCCAGGGATGTCAGACATCAATTTTTTTAGTAACATTGAAGAAATTATTTTTTCCGGATGTCACATTTCTGATGCCACTCACGAGCCTTATCAATTCCCCTGTTTTGCAGGACTCGTCCTATTATACAGGGTGTTTCAGTTTATTGTTGCATAACTTTAAGATTCGATAGAACTTTTACAATTAATGCATAAAGTCTATATAAACATGGGTCGAAAAATGCGTGGTTTCCGAAATACAGGGTGTTTAAATTTACTTTCTAAAATAGTTTTTTTTAAATATTTCGAACAACATTTGATGTATAACAGTGA